CCCCAAAACCCCAAAACCCCAAAACCCCTTAATTATTTGCCAAAGTTGAATCAAAATTAACCCAAATATCAATTGTACAACAAATTTGAGTTGCAATATTTCGGATCATTTTCAAGCATAAAGACCAAATGTTTTCTCTTTATCGTGATTTCTTTAATTATCTTCATTGGTTCATTCTGAGACTTGAAAGAGTCTTGTTTTACCAATAATGTAGGATCACTAGTTGTCCTATAAAACTTAATTAGAAACCTTACTTTGAAGCATTAAAAGATGGATTTTTATTAACAAAATGCTCTAATGTTGACATTCTTGGTCCTGCGACATCTACCCTAGTCTTCTCATTGTCACCTTCAAACAGATGGTCGAAAATATTGCTCGAGGTGATCATATTAGCCTTGCTGCCAGATTTCATAAGGCCTGGAGCCTTAAGATTTGGGTTATCATCGTCTCCTGAATCAAAGTCATCATCCATATCTTCATCTGATTCCTTATTTTCTTCATCTAGATCCCTTGCTCTTTTTCTACCTCTCTTGCGGTTCTTCGTTCTTTGATTTTCAAGTTCTCTGAGTTCCTTAACTCTTTCACGCTTTTCCTTGTTGATCTGGTTTCGTTTCTCGTCGACTTGTGAGAGCATGGACTTCATGTCGTTAGTGCAGATCATTTCAGTGTCTCACCATTTGAAAGTCTCACTAGTCTTCACAGTTGGCTTATGGTACTCCTGATTGATCTCATTCATTTTCTCTGTGATATTCACAATGTTCTTCAGTGAGTCAAGTTTCTTCGTATAAAACTTGACTAGAGCTGCTTCTAAGTAAACCAGAATACTTCCAGAAGCTTTTTTCAATGAATTCGCCTCTAATTTCTTCTTGATGAGGGATTTTACAGAGTCTTTTACTATAATTTTAGACTTTTCCTTCTCCTTTTCGATCTCTTTTATGAGTTCTTTCTTCTGCTTGTTTTCTGCCTGGTCCTTCTCCCAGTCATAGTTCTCAGCAGGACGCTTAGGGTAAGAAGCCGTGTACCTGATATTAACTTGCTTGAGTTCAGGTTTCGGAGCGAAACAAGACCTATCTTGAGGCTGATAGGGCTTCCTAGACATTTCAGGAGGATGCTGTCTCTTAATAGCTAACTTTTTGTCTACAAGAATAAGGCATGAGTTTTACCTGAATGAGGCTTGCCTTGATAGAACGATGGCTTTTTCAACTCCTTCTTATTTTCTAATGTCGAAGATTCTGGTATCTGTTCTTGTTGTTCCTCCTGTTGCTTCTCTTCTTCCTTAATTTCTCGCTTATTTAGTACTGCTCTTATTACTGTTATTATCCTGTACACAAGAGATTAGGGAAAAGAGTTCAGGGTAGAGAGGAAGTACCTTATCATCCTGGGGATCTTCATCCTCTTCGGCACTGACTTCTTGCATCTCCTGGACTACCTGGTACTGCTCGGATTTCTCATCATCTTCCTAGAAATAAGTGGCTAAGGTTACCTTTCCATGGGATTTCTCGCTTTTGTCTTCTTCTGGCATTTGGTAGTCATTTTCAGACTTTTTATCAGGAGTCTCGGATTTTGGCTCTTCTTCATTTTCTTGAAGCATTTCTTGGATCTCCTGTTGTTTTGAGGGAGATGATTTTTGTGAAGAGCGGGGCGAATTGAGGAAGGGTTTGGGACTTTGAGAGGGTGAAGGAGTTCCACTGCCTGGTGAAGAGTTTTTAGGCGTTAGTTGGCTGAGGTCGTCAGGATTGGAGGTAATTTCTTTGGTTATGTCTAAAGTAAAGTTAGGAATAATTTTAGGGTTAAAATAAGGTATTTTGAGCGTATAGAATTAGATTTTAAGCCTAAGGGTGGGAGTTAATTTACTTGGAGTTGGAGAGTTTTGTTGTTCTGGTGCTTTTAGTTCTTCGTTTTCTGAAGATTCTGGGTGACTTATTATTTCAGGCCTGTCGGACATATTTATTGGATTAGAAAATGATTTATAAATCAATTTTAGTAAATCTTAAGGGGTTTTGGGGTTTTGGGGTTTTGGGGTTTTGGGGTTTTGGGG